ATACTTTAGATGACAAAGTATTTTTCACAAATAAATAAATATTTGATAAAAATATAATTAAAAAGGAAGTCAGCACTGTAACCAACAAGGGCACTCAGTATTCTGGGAAGTTTGTGTGCATTGGGAATCATATTTTTTTCAAATAAAGCCAAGGTAACACTAATTTTACATACAGCACACAGTGAAAATTACATGAATATGGCAATGTGCAAATGCATAAAGCGCAGCATAATTTGAAATCATGAATTTAATGCTTAAAGCATTCAATCTGCACGGACCGAAAGTCACGCAGAGATCATGCAGGTCACATGCACACTTCACAAGATCTCACAACTGGATTCGACTAAGTCTGCAAGATCTGTGAAATTTAATTTTCATTAGCCGTTCAAAGATTTGTTTAAATGATATAAATGCGTATTTGCTGAATGCTGACGGCAAACGAGAAAGTATTATAATGTTTGCCTTTCTATTACTAATGGTATAAAAGCAATCGTTATAATACTCTTCATTTGATACAAGAACTATTCGAGCCGTTCATGCCAGACTGGGGAGACAGGTGTTGTAATAATCAGGGGTTAAACCAAAAAAAAAATGAGAGCCTGAACTTTTTTCCAGGGGCGGGGCAGCACATGCAGCATGCAATGACTGTGGCAACTTTAACATTTGAAAGGATACTATGGCAAAGTTATTGCTTTCTTTATTCAAACTGATTTTTTTTATGAATATATGGTTGACCTGAACAATGAAAGCTGTATCATACACTTGTAAAATGATGAGCTATATCACCACTGATCGACTCTAGGGGTGTGACAATACACTTAGCTCACGAGATACAGAGACAAAATACAGATACTTGGTTCACTAGAACGTGACAATATTTGAATACTATTTTAAAGAAATTTTCAATGACAAAATATTTGTCTTTTAATTACAGAAAGTAAAACAATGCAGTTGTATTTAGAAATATTTTAAAATAATCTAGGGCTGTAACTAATGATTATTTTGACTAATGAGTAATCTGATTTTTTTAGTAACAAGTGAAAACCAGGCTTTAGTATGACTATTTATATATAAACTAACGATGAGGCAATAATAATTGGCTCAAATAAAATATCAAAACCAAGAAATTACAAGATTGTATTAAAATACAACACTGTTAAAATACATAATGTAATATGCCTATGCATAATATGAACATAACCAATTTAAGTACATTATGTATTAAAACAAATACCTGCAGAGGGCGCCAACAGCCTGGTGATGTTTCACTTTACATCGTGATTAAACTATGTTTAAATCCATTTAATTTTAATATTTGGCCGCAAGCAGAAACTTTTATTTTGAAATTGCGATGTACAATACATGGCATATTTAGACACTGGCTGATGTATTCTCCTGTGTTGGCAAAGGTTTATAAATGATTTACGTTACAAATCTAGTGAGATAATGCACACTATTTTTCCAGATGAATGTTAAGCAATTCAAATTCACAGCATATGCGGAGGAAGAGTTTAGCCCCTTTCACACATACAGTCTGCAGCAGCAATATACAGTAAATACATCAATAAATGCACTGCTGTCGTCTCCTCTGAGGCTGGGACTCTAAACAGTGTTCTGTGCTCGTCTGTGCAGCCAAACACAGAACAGTTAGCATGCTTCGCTCAAACTTTCTCCATGACATTAGAGCTGCTACACCGTTGTCGCTTGTGAAAACACAATAACGGCGCCGTGGGTGTAAACTTACAGATTAAGGGGCGGTGATATTATAATGAGATCCCTTTGTCACGTCACCAAGAGAGCGAAATCAGACGCGCTGGTTTTCTCAGACGCTTGCAGAAAAAGGCTTCCCAAAACTAAGTTACTGGGTTAATCTTTTTCAGGTTTCCTTGGTTGATAGATGCACCGGGGACCTGATTATAGCACTTACAACCTGGAAAAGTCAGATTTTCATGATATGTCACCTTTAAGAGATCACGTGTGGACAGGACCTTTTCAAAAATCCCGGTAAATCGTCATATCGTTTTATGGAGATGACATGATTACTCTGAGCTGTTTACAAAGCTCTGCAGCTTTTTAATTAGTTATTCTATGTAAATATGCGTTAGATGGACATCTTTGACCATTGCGCCTCGCAGCTTTTTGTCACGCTTCTCCATTCGTCAGGGCTGCGACTATTATGCGTGTCTCGTGTTTAGAAGAGCAAAACATTCTGATTGGCTAGTAATGTTAGTTTGGTTGAGAGTGAAAGCTGTGCTCCTCTCATACCATTGGTAGGCGAACTCATGATCTCGAAAGTGATATCAATCAAGATTTTTTTTTTAAATGTAGGACTATTTTTTTCCGCAGCCAAACGCCCCACGCCGGAGATCCGGCACGGTGCCGGAGAATTTTAAGCCCTGAATAACGTAAAATATGTGAAAAATAATGTGTTTTTCGAACAACCTAGTATGAGAGCATGTTCTAGTACACCTCCAAAACAAAATCAAGACTTTGTAAAAGAGCATAATAGGACCCTTTTGTGCTCCAGGGTCACATTTCAAATGTCCCATTACTACGAAACGACAGATAAACACTGTGAATGAACATACAGGATCAACACTGTTCAGAAACACGCATCCAAACGCACTCGCTCCGGATCCGACTAAGACGTCTTGCTCTGGCTGTTTCCGCTGGAGCCATACTTGCCGTTCTTGGGGATCTTGTTGCTGGAGCTCTGCGGTGCTTTCTGCTCGTCTCCGGTCAGGAGGGCTTTGATTTCGGACGGGATCTTCCCCTGGTCCATGGCCAGACACCACTGCTTGTACTGCAGACACATGAACAGCATCAGCACGGCTGAGTAGATTAGGGTTGGGAATCGAAAATCGAATACCGATTCCAGAATCGGATACTTGTTGTCAAATTAAAATTTCGATTACGCTTATCGATTCCTATGCGCTTTTTTCTTCTTCTTCATCTGCCAGGACCTTGCTCGCTAATCTAAGTGCTCCAAAGTGTGGCTACATTTGCGATCAGAAGCCAAAGAAGCTCAGTATAATATCTGTGATAGCTAAACATGTTGCAAGAGAGGCGTCACCACCAACACGA